GGTTTAGGGTTTAGGGTTAGGGACGACATCCTTGGGAGCTCAATACTGAAAGGACCCTTGCATAGAGCCATAAAATCCTGTTGCATAAATTAGCCTATAGCCCATAGCCTAAAATAGCAGGATCATAGAATGCTAAGTTTTCGGGCCCTTCGCCAGATAGAACTAGGACCTGAATATTAGAATCCATTCAGCCCTGAATAAGGTATCCTTCATTATTCTAAGAAGCCCGAGTTTGGTTTCCGTACGAAGTGGGCTTTGGTCTGTAGGGTTATTCCGCTTGTTCGGCCGCGGTCTTGAACTGTGCGGACAAAGTCAGTCGCATCCGTTGTTCAACACGCAGCATTCCGACATGTCTACTGTCCACGTTCAAATCCTTCTGTCTTCTCGTCGGTGTAGGTGACATGAACTTTCGCATGTTGAAGGCACCTGCCCGTTACCTGGAGCATCCAACAGAGTTTTGGATATCTGTTTTACTCCCAAACTACGAGGATGCATACCCGGGACTTTGACACCTCTGCTCATGATCTGTTTCATCTGTATAGGATTATTTCGCTTCAGATTGGATCAGGGGAAACTTGAGTACCATTGTAAGTGGACGTTTGTCGAGTCTCAGGACCGACCTTTTGCTGCATTCATCTTGCCCAATTTTCCAATTTCATTCAGGAGCCCGTGCTAGAAGCACCGTAAGTCCCAGGATTGCATGACGAGCAAGAAGCCAATACGTAGTCTCGTGAAGGTGATACATGGACCTTCCATGACAAATACATGTCGTAGTCGGGAGCACCATAGAAATCAACCTAAATCAAACCCCTTACACGAAAGGCCACATGGTTGCCAATTCTTCGTTGAGTGGATAAGGTCGGGGATGCTGCCACCAAGCCTGGAAATAGCCGAGAGGATCGCAGTCGCTGGGTGATGATGATGATGATGATGATGATGATGATGCCGGAAATGATCATGGCCAGTGTCTCTATGATTGGCGTACAGCCGGAATCCTACCGCTGCGTTGTTTCATCTTCTGTTTGGTGATGAAGTTGTGACACCGCTGGTGTTATCAATGCCTGTGACGACACTCGTGGTCTGGACATTGCAGATCCTTGCCGTTGCCGATGACTCGATGACTAGTCTTGCCGATGCGCTTAGCTCTTTCGTATACAAGTACTATTACAGGCATTGCCGACATTTCTAATTCTGCCACAACTGCCAATACCTGAGGCTTGGATTGGGCTTCTGATACAACACCCAGGTTTGTCTTGCCAATTGCTAGTACCAACAACATGAGCCGGAAAACGATTCCTACAATCACAGTGATAATGCTACTGCGAGTGATGATCATAATGATGCTGGTCATAGTGAGGATGCTACTTTCAATTCTGGCTTTCGGGGGTAGTTGGCACGGACGGGCCCCTGGTTGCTTTTAGCTTTTCCAAGCTAAGCCCCTGGACATATATGCGAGGACGTTCGCCGGACAATGAGAATGCTCATGCCGGCGGTATCACAGGTTAAAAGCTGCGCAACTACACGTAGCATCATGCCAGTATATCATATCTGTCTTTGTCTGCAAGAGCTCGACAGGAGTGCTGCGTACAGCTGATGTGCAAAGACGAGGAGTCTTGCGATTCGACTCAGTACAAGAGCCTTGGCTTTGATTAAATCCTCACAGAAGAAGCAACAGGAGCTGGGTCGGCTTCGTTTCGCATGCGTGCATTGCCGGCTCCACTGGCATGGTCTCGTTCTGGAGCTGCTATGAGTGGATCAAACGTTGAGGTTCTTGTGTGCAGAGTTTGGGTAGACAGATCTTCGGAGAGAGAAGAGGATGCGGGCAACTCTCCAAGAGGTCGCCGTCGCGGCCAACAAGAATCACAATCACACGTCTTGTGAGCCATAGTTGGGCTTGCTGGCCTGTCTAGCTCCGAGCAGCAAGGATCTCTTCTTCAATGATTTCAAGGCGGTGATTCGTCTATACATTGCAGCTTACAGTATCAAGTATGAGCACACACACACACACACACGCGCGCACACGTGCACGCAACCTCACACACACACACAAGCACGCGGGAGCATCATAGCTGTACGTCAAAGAACTTCAAGCTTTCAGTTCGAGTGTAAACCCTTGCATGAGCTGCCGAGTTTCAGTGTGTGCCCTTGTCCACCGTGCACCATCATCTGCATGAGGAAGTCGGACGGCTGGGAGACGCTTGTAGGCCGGTGCGGGAGGTAGGTTGGTTTTTTTGGAGGCTTGGGTTTCAAGCGAAGGTCGTTGACTTTCGAGTTTCATTACGAGTCGTTGTCGGCTGGCAGACGGTGCTGCGACGCGAAGGTGCGCGATTCTTGCCCTCGCTTGTCTTGGAATGTAACACGAGGTAGCACGGTGGATCGCTGTTGCACCCCGATCCAGTGCAACATGACGAAGTTGTGTGGCTTGGACGGCAAGATAGATGATAGCTCCAACCAGAGTTAGGCTTGACGATTCTGTTACAAGCAGGCTTGCATAGACCTGTCAGAGCTCTTTGACCCAAACCCCTGAAACCCAAACCCCTGAAGCCGGGGTGAATCCGCAGACGTTCGGTCCCTTACCAACTGCGTCCGCCTGTAAGCCGTTCCGACAGCATGGGTAGTGCGAGAGGAAAAGAGGTGACAGAAAAGCCTCAGAAGCCGTGATATGAAAGCCTAAATGATTACCAATGCTATTTTGGAGGTCCCTTAGTATAACTATATTATAACGGAGCCCAAAACCCTATTCTAATGAGAAAGGCCCCTACAATAAGCTCATGACCTCTACGCCCAGACCCACAAGCGGTCGTAAGGAACGCCTTCAAGAGAACAGCCTGAAGAGCGAAACCCGAAAGTAAACCCCAAAAGCCCCCAGATCCGCGAAAGCCCTAGCCATCCTCAAGCCCGATTTAGGGTTTAGGGTTTCGGGTTTAGGGCCTAACCAAATGCACCAAAAAATGCCCTGGAGCCCTAAACCCTAAACCCTAAACCCTAATACCCGAACCCCTAAAGGAATCCCCAGAGCCCTAGAGTCGTGGCATCTCCAGGTACTGGCAGCCAGTGGAAGCCAAGGGAGGGATCAGGCGGGAAACGATTCGGTTTAGGGTTTAGGGTTTAGGGTTTAGGGTTTAGGTATTTTCGAAGGGCTTCATACGGTTTTAGAGGGCTTTGAACATGGTTTCATGCGGGTTCAATGCTAGTGAGGGCTTCAGAAGTTTCAGAAAGGTTTTTTTTCAGGGTTTCTTGACTCTTGAAAGAAGGTTATGGGGTTTCCTTAGGGTGAGGTTCTTACAGGGGCCTTTCCTACATGGCAGGTAGGGCTCGTAAGATGGGATGGGGGCTACCACGTAGAGTGGCTAAAGCGACAGAGCCTTTGGTAGGGTGATCATTCAGGGTTTAGGGTTTAGGGTTTGGGGTTTAGGGTTTACAGTTGTTGACACAGTTTAGGGTCTAGGGCTTCGCCCTAAAGGTATCATGGATTATTGCGTGCTGCGGGTTTTCATTTGTTTTCGGGGCCTACGGAGGCAGGCCGATTTTCTACAAGCATATCAGAATTTTGGGTGCAAGGGTTTGTCTGATTCTGGGTTCACGGCCTTTAGTAAGCCGTACATTCCGCAAACGCTACACAATGTATGGCATGCCAGGACTACCGCGTCGGAACATTTGGATTCGTACTTTTTCAGCAACAGACTACTAAACATCATATGGGTGGTTGTCAAAATTATGGTCCCTTTTGGGTCCTTATTTAATCCGGCACCTATTATTTAGGGTACCCCAAAAGGGACCATAATTTTGACAACTACCCATATTTGACTTAGCATACTTGCAACGACACTGCTACTACCAGTAACCCTGTTACTGGTAACTACTAATCATAAACCTCATCATCCCGGAAGGCTGGGCCTTAATAATTACGAAAGGGTTTTGGGGTATATTGCAATAGAATGATAATAAGGAACCTATAAGGAATAGTATTGTCAATAATTTGTATATTGCAATAGAATGAGAATAAGGAACCTATCAGGAATAGTATTCTCAATACTTCAAACCCATGTAGTAAGGGGGCGGGAAGCTCTGGATCCTTCAGCAGGTCGTCAACTCCCAGCTTTGGGGTCTTTTGACTCATTGCCCACATGCAAGCCACGGTTTAGGGTTTAGGGTTTAGGGAGTCTGTACTGTTGTGTGTTGTAGGACCCGATGTGCGAAGGAGAGAGGTGAGGGATCAAACAGGGGACCGGAGGGCGCGGTTATAGATTCACAAGGCCAAGACTCTACGACTCAACTGATCCTTTTCCCGGAGAGGTCTCCTGGGATCCACCACCAAGGCTCAACATGGTTCTGCAGATCTTTGACGGGTTAGATTCTCTGACATACACCAGCTGTTTATCTCCATGCTAGAATATGCTACTCAGTGCTTAGACTATACCACCATACTAGTAGGATTCTTGCTGATACTAATCGGCGCGCAACCCGAAATCCTCAACCGCAAGGCAGAGTTCGGCTTCGGAGTTTCGGAGACCTCTCGGATGTTTCGGGTTTAGGGTTTAGGGTCTAGGGGTTTCAGTCTCAGGTTTCGGTCCTTCCATTTTAGTATCGAAGGCTGAATGGGTAGTCGTTAGTAATATGGTGCCTCCGGGTTCCTGAGTAGCAATGCACTGTAATGTACCCCGAATTTCCTTAATTTCAATGTGCTGTAATGTGCCCCTACTTTTAGTTACTTAGTTTCAATATGCTGCAATGTACCCCTAATTATTCAGGCCCCTACAGTAGCCTTTACAAAGTCTCGATAGTCTGGTGCTGGCTTTTGCGTGTCTTGGCCGGGGTGCGTTGCAGATATCAGACTGTGGCTTCCAGAGTACAGTCGACAGAATCAAGCCCATCGGCTCCTTTTTGTAAAGGGCCCAGGTAATAGTAGAAGTATAGTGTGTGTATATCTAAATATATGTACATACGTATGTATATGTATATGTATAT